TTTTTTTTTTTTTTTTTTTTTTTATTTTCCTTGTAGCTTGTCCTCCTTGCTGCAGGATGAATTAGGAAGGCCAAGCCTCTTCCTCTGAGCCATGGAGACGAGGGCATCCTTCATTGCCAGCATGAGGGAGACCCAGCAGCTCTCCCCAGAGAAGGATCCCAGCCCAGCCAACGGTGATGGGGAGCAGTTTGATTCAGGTGAGCTCCCCTTCACCCCCACGAGTCCTTGTCCCTGCTGCAGCTCCTCACAGGTAGAGCTGGGAGCCAGGGAGGCATTGGGAATGGTTGTACCCTTTTTTGGGTCTTAAGGATTGGAATGTGTCCCGTGATTGATGGGAAATAGGAGCTTTTCCTCTTCTGGACCTCATCTGCAGTAGGTATCAGCTATTCAAAATTTAAACAGTCAGCCGTGGAAAACCTTTCCCAAGGCATCATACTGTGTTCTCCCAGCTTCCCCAGCGTTTTTTATTCTGTTGAAATGTTGTAGTAAAGAGAGACAGAACAAGCATTCAGAATTTTACAGCATTTCTCCTTTGTTCTGACCTTCCCCCTCATTTCCTTCACTGTTTTTTGGAGTGCTTCAGGTGAGGGGGTTTCACAAACACTGAGGAGTGCTGGTCACATGTTGTCCTTGTGCTCCTGACTGGATGCTTTGTAATGCTCTGGGATGGGCTCCTGAAGGTGTGAGGATCTGCTGTGCTAAATTTGGGTGTTCTGTGGTAGATACAGAAAAGTAAATGCTCCATTCTGGGGATTTTTTGTGGGATCAGGTGCTTTAACTTCCCATATCCAGCCTTAGCTGGAGGAGACTGTGTCACATGATGAAAAAGTACATTATGGCTAGACCTAACCTTTCTTTCTGAAGCCAGGCTTTTCCCTGCTTCTCCCTCAGCATGTCAGAAATTTGGCCACTCAGCCTTCAGTTTCCTCACTTCTTGTAGCAGCTCAGTGATTTTCCTGTTTCCTTGGACACCAGATCCTTGGATTTCCAGAGTGGACACATCTGGGCTGGTCTAATCACCACTGGATCTATTTTTATCTGTGGTTGAGAGGTAGGAATCTCTATGATGAGATTCAGTTGGCCAACCATAGACTTTTTTTTTGGGGATGAGGAGAACTGGCCTGCAATGCCTAAATTGTGGGGATAAGGATTTTGATGGCTCTCCCAAGGCTGTGCCAGAGGTTTGTGATTGATCAGATGTCTCCCTCTCCCCACACCTGTTGTGGGAGCATTTCAGTGCTCTTTTCACTCAGAAAATCATATATGTGTATCTAGGTGCTATAAATAAGATGTCTAAAAAATTTGCCTTAAATACTTTCTCCTACAGTGAAGCCTGGGGAAAAAAAAATAGTGTTTCTGGAGCCACAGGGGGAAAAAAATATAGTGTTTCTGGAGCCACAGGGTTTGGGTCTTTTATCCCTTTTCTTTTCCATAGCTGAACATTCCAGGGGGCTGTTAACAGCTGGAACAGTTGCATTTTTATAATGTCAATGCATGAGCACTTTAAAGCCATTGAGAGGCTCGCAGATAATGACTTGTTGATTTTATTTGTCATCCTGGGCTTGTTTATACATCACCGTATTGCAAACCAGCCAGCCTTGACTCTTTCATTAAGAAAAAGCTCTGGACCTAAGTACCAATAATTGGAAAGGGAGCTGGTATGTAAAATAGGTTTAATGCCAGATTTATCACCTTTCAGGGTGTCCTGTGCTCCTCAGCAGTTGGGTTTTTGTGATGGATGAGGAGATTTGTGTGCAGCCCTGTTGCATGTCTGGGTGGTGTTGGGTCCTTTGGGCTGGTCCCATCCCTGTGCCACTCTGTCTGCTCTGGATGCCCCCCTGCCAGAATTCCAGCAGGGAGCAAAATCCATTGAAAAACCATTTTGAAAACATACAGTCCCTTCAGAATCAGTTGTGGTGAAATGAAGCAAAATAAACCGCTGATGCTGTGATAAATGAGTGCTCTGACATTATTTTTACAGACCTTGTAAAAGTAATTTCCTGATAAAGTCTGCAGATAAAACATGGTAGAGGAGCCAGGCTGGTGATGTGTCAGAGAGGAATGAGCTGACAGCGAGGGAAGGCTGCAGCTCTCACTCTGCCTTGCCTCTGGGCATTGAAGCCTCTTTTTTTGGGTTTAGAAAGGAGAGATCTGGGTGGTATTTTATTCAGCAGGTGGTGGTGTGAGTTTTGCTGGGCAGCATGTGAAGGATCCTGCCAGTGAGAGTCTCTGTGCTGGCCTGTGGCAGAGTAGGTCAGGGTTAATAAGGTTGTGAAGGACTTGATGCATCCATAACTAGTGTCTAGTTATATTTGTTAAAAAGCTTTTTCCAAATTCTGGAGAAGACTCTGACCTGCCTGGAGACATTGCTCCTTGCAAGGGCTGGGGATAATGCACTGAACTGAAAACCTCTGTGGAATGAATCTTCCCTGTAAGACTGCTGAGGAGGGCTGGAGAAGAGGAGACACGTGCTGGAGGAGAGACTTGCCTTGACCCACACAGGAGATGAGAGCAAAAACAGGAATAAAAACTGAGAGCACACTGTGAGCATCCTGGGCTGAGGGAAAGGGAAATGCTCTGACATGGAAGTGCATTGTATTTGTGGAGTTCCCAGATGAAGGCAGGAATGATGAATCTGACTCCACATTCTCAGAAGGCTAATTTATTATTTTATATTATATTAAAGAATAGTATACTATACTAAAGAATACAGAAAGGATACTTACAGAATGCTAAAAAGATAATAATGAAAACTCGTGACTCTCTCCGCAGAGCCCTGAACCTGATTGGCCATTAAGTCAAAATAACTCACATGAAACCAATGAAACAATCACCTGTTGAATAAACAATGTCCAGACACATTTTAAAGCAGCAAAACATAGGAGAAGCAAATCAGATAATTATTGTTTTCCTTTTTCTCTGAGGCTTCTCAGCTTCCCAGGAGAAGAATATTGGGCAAAGGGATTTTTCCAGAAAATATGAATGTGACAGAAGTGCCTGACCAGGAGAGAAGAGAGCCCAGGGCTGACCTGGAAGTCACAGAATCACAGAATTATTTAGGTTGGAAGAGATCTGTAAGAGCTTTGGGTCCAACCATTCCCCCAGCACTGCCAAGAGCACACCCTGAGCCATGTCCCCACGTGCCACATCTCTGTGTTAATGTTTTAAATCCCCCCAGGGATGGTGGCTCCTCCACTGCCCTGTGCAGACTGTTCCAAATATCCTGGCCAGGTCCTGAGGTGGAGATGCCCTTGGGACTGTTGGAAAATTCCATCCCAACCCCACAGATACAGGTAACAGGGAGAGATGAGGCAGAGGAGATGATGCACTTTAAGCTTTTCATGTCAGATGTTTCTGACCTTTGATGGGATGGGGATTAGTTGTGCTCAGGGTAAAACGTTGCTTAAGCAATTTTAAGCCTGGAATGGACAATCATACCTGCCCATCTACTGATGGACTTGGTTTTAGAGGCTCAGCCTTTGAAATCTCTGCACACAGCTCTTTGTAACATTAACTCTGCAGGGTTGCAGGCACGAAGGCCGAAAAATATCCCTGTTCATCTAAATTGCCTGCCTGCATGATACAGAATTTTTCCACCAAGCTCCCACCTTGTGGTTAAGTTGTGGCTTATCATTCAGTCAAGGTTGAACAAACCCCTCATTCTGGGTCAGATAGCTCAAGTAGAGCCAGCTTCTGAGCCTGGAGGTTTTTGCAGTGATTGCAAAAATCAAAACAAAGCCCATTCTTTATTCTGCCATGAATTTGTCTATTTTTGGATTGTAATAATGGAATTGGGTTATTTCTTGCTGAGTTGAAGAGTCATCTGGTAGCCTCTTTATCACTGGAGTAAATGTTGATTTGCATCTCCATATTTAAGGAGATGATTTGAGTTTAGAACAAGGAGTCAGACTTGATGCAGAAGCATGCAAGTGTTTAATAGTGTTGACAGCTCACCTTTGAACTCCCAGACAGATCTTTACCCTCCACCAGCTCTGTCTCAAAAACCCTCTTCTGATCCCCTTTTTTCTCCCTCACCTATATGGGTCTGGTGCCACAGGCAGCAAATAAAAACTGTGTCTTCCCCTTCTAATAATGAGAGATTCCCCTTGCACAACATAATTTTCTCTGGTCCTGGAAACTGGAGACCTGTAGCAATAATTGCAATAAATTAACCTAGCCTTTTTCTTCATAAAACTGTCTGGGGAGGGTTCTTAATTCAGTTTGTCATGAGTCACTTTAATTACATCATGACCACACTGATGAATGCTGGGGCAGGTAAAGGGTCTCGCAGAGTTTGCCTGATAAATGCTTATTGCAAAGAGCTCATTGCTAGACTGTAAATATTTTTGCTCTGGGGATGAAACTGGCCTTGCAAGATTGCTTGGGAACAAAATGAAAACAATCAGATTTGGCTGATTTTCTGTAAGTGAAAGAAGATTTATTTTTAATTGTTGCTGGGTGCGTTTCAGGGATGTTTTGGGGCCTTGGCTCTGCCTCAGTGTGGTTTTAAAGGAAGCAAAGAAGGAGTGGTCATGTCCAGCCCTTGCTGTGGGGCAGTGGTGTGCATGGGGGAGAGAGGACACAGAGCCCCAAATCTGAAGGGGAGCAGAGAATAAGAAGGCACTAGGGGTCTAGGGAGGTTTGGGGAAAGCAGCTGTAGCCTTGGGGAAAAGGGGTTTATCTGAAATTTATGGATGCAGCGATGCTGAGGAAGGAGAAGAAGCAGGAGTGACAATGGGTCTCACTCACCCAAGGGTTGGGGTGTTTGTTCCACACACGGCTCAGCCAACAGAAGCATCTTCTCATTTATCCCTGGGGCACTGCTGCAATCACCAGTGCTGGGGGAGCACTGGGAGGGCACAAGGACATTCATTGCACCTCGCTGGTGGTGGGCAGGCAGGGAGTCACCAAATGCAAAATAAAAGAGCCCAAGTGCCTCTTGCAGCGTGTGACAGTTTTGTGCCCCCACTGCCGTGGAAGCAGAGTAATTTCTGGTCTCAGTGTTGGCTGCTAAAACCCCGGAGTCTGCTGAATTCATAGCAAGAGCTGGTCAAAACACAGATCCTTAAAGCAAGCTTTCTGTTTTCCCTTCTGTTGATGTTTATACTGGTTGCTATTCTCACCCTGAACTCTTTGACACAACTTTTGCCTTCTTTGGCTGTGTTTTAGGCTGCTTTTCTTTCTCCCATTTTTAAATTTTTTTTTTTCTTTTGCTTTTGAACAGATGAGGGCTCCAGCATTGAGGATGCAGACTTCAACTGGGATGAGTTCCTGGAGGAAACAGGAACCAGTGCTGCTCCCCACACCTCCTTCAAACATGTATGTGCTCTCTCTGAGCCTTGTGGGTGTTGTACACGTTCCCTCTTCTGGTTTTCAGGGGCTCCCTGGAGAACTGTAGTGGAGTCTTCCCATTTTGGGGAGAAATTGTCCCTCCACACATGTGACAGCCTGAGTGGGAATAGCCCCCCAGCTGGTGTTGGGTGACCTTGGTGTGTTTGCAGTCACACATGGGGGTTCTGTGTCTCTGCCACTCCCTTATCCTCTGCATCAGACTTTCCATTTTCGAGGGGTTGTGTTGCTCTCATTTTGCTTCTGATGCACTCATTTTTTTTCTCTTCACTGATTTTCCCCTTTACATTCATTGTTGTCCATGCCAGCCTGCAGAGATGCATCTCACAAGAGTGTTGTCGTTCCCCAGAGCTCCTTTTAATGCCTGATTTACTGCCTGGCAGAGTCACTCAGCACTGAAGTTCAATGTTGCCCTTAGGAAACCATCTCTCCTGCCTGCAGGTGCTGTCTCACAAGTGTGGGGAGCAGGGACTTGGGCAGGTGGTGCTTTTCCTGGCTGGACATGGGCATGCAGACAGCTGTGGTAGTGACAGGTCTGTGCTCTGCTCTGTGTTAGCACAAGCAGCATTTGGGGGCACCTCTGGAGATCACCTGGTCAAACCACCTTTGCCTCCAGGTAATTTTGTGGCTTGTTTTGTAGGGCTAAAGGAGCTGCAGGGATGAAAAACCTCTCTTTTATCTAGTCTGAGAAACCAGGAGAGTCCTCCATTCCCTATTTTGCTTTCATTTAACAACAGTTAACCCAGAGAATTGCAGGATGAAGGACCATAATTCTCTAAACTGGAGATTTGCAGGGCAGTTCTTACTGTGGAGTTTATTCTTGATCCAGCAGCTGCTTGGAGAGAGCATCTTGTCTCAGATTTCTGTTCCAGGCTCCTAGTAGAAAGTTTAGTGCTTCATGAAGCCCTTAAGGATGCCTTAATTTGTGAGGAGATGCCCAGGTCACCCTGCTGATGCTGCTGACTGCAGTGTCTCACAGCACCGGAGTCCTGGGAGTGTCAGTGTGGGACACATTGGTGCTGGGAACAGCCCTTGGTGACTGCTTCACAGTCTGAAACACCATCCTCAAAAATCTGGCCAAAAAAAAGCTGAAAGCTGTTGGAGGAGATTGTATTATCTGTCTGTCTGATTCTCCTCTTGATGTGGTTTCCAGTCACAAGTCTCTTGGCTTCCAGAGCACCTCGTTGGTGTTACGGTGAGCAGAGGGAGAAAACCAGAAAATGAATCACTCTCTGCAGGCATCGGGCTCAGGTGTTTGGAGCTGCAGCTGCCAGTTTGTACTGGGGGGAGGCCAGGAGATCCCATTTGTACTGGGACATGGGCCACTCTGTACCCGGATTATTTGTGAGGACTCTGAGCATCGCTGAGATCCTGCCTTAGCACTGAGTAAAGCAGTGCATGTCACTGACCACCTCAGTGTTAGACTGTGTCCAAAGGTCCCTCTCAATTGTTCTGTGCCTCTGGGCACAGATTCTGCTGGAAGTGCCCACATCAGGAAAGGCACACAGAGTGCAGATGATAAATGGGTTTGGCTGGGCAGCCCTTGGGGTCAGAAGCTGGAGCTGGATGAGGCAGGGATTACTGCTGATGGACCAGAGGAGTGTTTTCTCAGCAGCTTGGCATCCCCACATCTGTGGAATCCTCAGTTGAGCAAGTAGACCATGTTATATTTGTCTTTGTGAATAAAAGAGTAATTTAAAACTGCCATTTCAATTGGAAATCTATCAGAGACAGGCTTACCTAGAGTTATAATCCCTCTGGATTCAGTAGCTGATAAGGTCCTAAGAAACCTGTGACAACCTGTCCTTAAATATCTCCTGAGGAATGACAGGTTACATTTTGGATGGTTTTGTGAAGGCTGGCACCTGACAAATGCCCTGGCATCCACCTCTTCTTTATCAGCAACAGCTGGAGGCATCCCACTGTCCTTGGAACACAGGCTGTGCTGCAGCAGGCCCTGGTGTTCATCAGCAGTGCCAGCAGTGTCCCAAAAGAGATGCACTGGCATCTCCAGTGTCCTAAGGCAAGTTATAGGTGCCCTGTCGCTGCTGAAATAAGTGGAAGTGACACCTCCATCAGATGGCAGGACAGTGACCCAGACAATTCACTTCTTTCAGTGGCAGGTCATAACCTGGTTTTCCATGGGGGGATTGATTGGGGCTTGAGCTGCTGAGGATGGGTGCAGTGGAAATTCTCTCCTTGGTCTGCCTGGTGCAGCATTCAGCCCTTGATGCTTGTCAAGCCTCTAGAGGGGCTTCAGTGTTGTTGTGTGACCAATTATTGTAGTTGGGCTTAACTCCTAGAGGTGCTCCATAGCTGCCTTTCTGTGTCCTGTGATTTGCCTGGGAAATGAAACTTCATTTGAGTTGTGCTGACCGTACCCAAGGCATTAGTGACATGTAGGGATTGAAGATGAGTGCCAGTCCTCTCTTGGATGCAGTACACCTGACTTCACAGCCTGTGGGACTTACATGATGGGCCAGTGAAGTAGGAATGGAGCTGCTCAGACAGATGGAGAAGGAGGTGGTTGGATTTAGGAGCACAATCAGCTCATGTCCTATCCCAGCGCTGCTCTTTAAGAGCTGTGGTATTTTCGGGGTCCCCAGGACAAAGGAGGAATGATTGAATCTGACTCCATATTCTTAGAAGGCTAATTTATTATTTTATGTTATTATAATGTTAAAGAATGCTATACTAAACTCTACTAAAGAATAGAGAGAAGATACAGACAGAAGGCTACAAAGAATGATGATGAAAATTCGTGACTTCTTCCAGAGTCCCGACACAGCTGGCTGTAATTGGCCCAATAAGTAAAAACAATTCACATGCAACCAATGAAACAATCACCTACCACGTTCCAAAGTAGCAAACATAGGAGAAGCAAATCAGATAATTTTTCCAGAAAATATGACAGTGACAAAGAGCAGCATTTCCAGGGGAGGGGAGAGCAGCTCCCTACCCAGCAGAAAAAGTAACACCATCCCTTTCTCATTCTGCAAGGTTGAAATCAGCCTTCAGAGCAGTTTCCAGCCCGGGATGAAACTAGAAGTGGCCAACAAGAGCAACCCAGACACGTACTGGGTGGCTACCATCATCACCACGTGCGGGCAGCTCCTGCTGCTGCGCTACTGCGGCTACGGCGACGACCGCAGGGCAGACTTCTGGTGTGACGTGATGACAGCAGACCTGCACCCCGTGGGCTGGTGCACGCAGAACAACAAGGTCCTGATGCCTCCAGATGGTGAGTTCTGCCTGCTTTGCTGGGGTCCTGCTCTGGTGTTGGGCTTTCAGATTTCTGGGGTTGTTGTATTTGCGGGGTGCCGCGAAGAAGGAAGGGATGATGAATCTGACTCCTATTATTATCTTTTTAGCATTGTGTAAGGATCCTTTCTGTATTCTTTACAACAGTTTAGCACGGCTCATTTATTATTTTATGATACTGTAATATATTAAAGAATACTATGCTAAACTGTAGTAAAGAGTACAGAAAGGATACTTACACAATGCTAAAAAGATAATAATTAAACTAGTGACTCTCTCCAGAATCTGGATGCAGCTTGGCACTGATTGGCCAATGGGTCAAAACAACTCATAACAAAACCCAATGAAACAATCACCTGTGGGTAGACAATCTCCAAACACATTCCAGATGAGCAGAACACAGGAGAATCAAATGACATAATAATTGTTACCCTTTTTGTCTGAGGCTTCTCAGTTTCCCAGGAGAAGAATCCTGGGCCAAGGGATTTTTCAGGGAATGTGAATGCGACAGGGGATGGGTACTCCAGGTCCTCAGCTGGTGTTGGGTGATGTGGACAGGGTCGTGTCCCCACAGGATTCAGTTTGCCAGTCAGCCTCCAGCAAAGGAATTTTTGCCCTAGCTGGTGACAGAAGGCTCTTCCATAGGGAGATGTCTTGTTACTGCTGAACTGCAATGCTGTGATTGTCACTTCAGGGAGAAAACTGTCCTGTTCTTGTAGAAAGGAGGGGTGAAATTCAAGAGTGAGAACAAACTAAAATAAGCAAGATCAGCTTGGGTGTAACCAAAATCAGAAGCTGACTTTGCACTCAAAAGTGTTTTGCCCTGAAAATTTATAACCTTCCATCGCCAGACTCTGGCAGCTCTTAATTCCAATGGTGGATCCACGTGATTAAAGATAGCAGAATTTGGTCATTATTGGTTAGGGCATGTCCTGATTGGCAGCTCTTAGGTGCACAGAAGCTGAATGGAAATGTTGTAGGTTCCTGAGTGGCCCATGTGGAGCAGTTTGTTAATAATACAATTTGATCCCCAGCGTATAAGAATAAAAATATATATATATATATATATATATGTATGTATATATAGGCTGTGTGCATCAACAGAGCAGCTGTGGTGTATCCTTGCTACTACACTGCTCCAGGCAGAGGCATATTGTCAGTGTTGCTGCTAAGTATTCCTGCCATATATCCCATTTATTCTGGATCAAGGGAAGAAGAGATGAATATTCAGCCTCCAGCTTGTGCATACATTTAAGGAAAGTCTCATTTAAGGGCTCTGCTGCTGAAGTTACTCTTTCCCTTTTTGCTGTGTGGCCACTGGAAACAGTGCGTGTGCCAGTTGTGTGCCACATGGGAATTCTCCTGGAGTAAGTGTTCCCTGACTTCCTCCTGAAGTGAGCTATAGACAGAGTCCTTGAATCAAAGCTGACATTCCTGCCTTGCATGTGCCCAACTGTGAGCTAAACTTGTCTTTTTGTTCTGGTCTGTGTGTTTTGAATAAACACAAGATTGATTGCTTAAAAAAAAAAAAAGAAAACAAAAAGAAGCCTTGAAGATAAATATGGCTGAGAAATCTCTTGGCTTAGTACCAGTAAATCAAGCTGATGTGAGAGGGATGAGGTATTTTATTTTATTGGCCTCTTAAACTGCATTTTATTATGTGGATTACAATCAGCGCTACCAGAAAGGTGTACGGTGCTGCAGACTAAATCTCAAATGTGAGGGTCAGGAGGGTAAGAGAATTTACTGAATGTCGTAATAGAAAATAACAATTCCCTTATAACCTGAGGCAGCTGCTTTGCACGGATCTGCTGGAATTTGCCCTTTGGGTCGTGGCCACTCTGTGTGAATTGCCTTGCTTGAGTGACTGCAAGTGTGCAGTGTGTCCTGCATCCCTTTTTCTCCGGTGGGTGATGTAACTGGACACCCGGGTGCTGAATGTGGGCAACTGCCCTGTTAGTCTGGGGCTTTTTTTTTGTTTATTTTCCGACTCCCACTCCCATTTTCAGTGAATAAACTTTGTTGAAGATGTCACAGTATAATTTTCAAAAAGAAGAAATTAAATGCATGGGTTGTTATTCCAAAAGAGATTTAAGCATTTAAGAGCTTGGCTCATATTTTGGAATGAGGCATCTAAAATGCCCAAGAGGATCTGAGCTTTCAGGCCTTAAAGAATCATAGGACCTATGCACTGGTAAAAGAGAAGCTGATGTTCTCTGTGAACTCTGTGGAGTTTTTTTTAAACCTCTCATTTTGCTGTCAGACTTTTGGGGGAAACAAAAACCAGCTTTAAATTGCACGGACCTGGTTCTGAAGGCATCAGTTCTGCGCTGTAATCTTGATTACAGTGACTGTATCTGTTGGCTAGACCATGCAATCAAACAGCATGGCTGGGGCTGGTTGTCTGTCATTAGGCTGTGATTTTAATCAGGAGCTGAAGGCTTTGGTTAAAAAGCAGAGTTGCCCAAATGGACTTGTTTAACAGCCAGAACGACAGCACTGGGACAATGCTTTGTTTCTGCTCACGAGGCAGGTTGGACTGATCGCTGCTCATCTCGTAAATGTGGTGCCAGACAGGAATGGTGGAGTGATGGGACAAAGAATTTCATTAGATGGGAGAGAGATGCAACAAAATGGGCTGGTTCAGTTCAGCAGATCAATAGAACTTGATTTAAAGTCCAGCACACACAGAGCTTTTAAGAGGCGGCTGCCAAATAATTGTAGTTTATGATCCAAATCGAAGGAAGTTGATTCATTTGCAGGCTGCTGCTCCGTTATTTATGGGGTGACATCAGTTGCATCATGAGGCCCGTGGCCTGTGAGTAAAATGTCAAGTCATGTTCTGTCCTCCTGTGACGTGATGGTGCAGTCACCAGATCAGGAATACCTGAGGTGGCAATAAAATGTCTTGGTTTATGGCAGGATGGTGTGAGTGCACGTGTGCCTGTGAGCTTCACGCTCCAACCCCCTCCTTCACAGGAAATCAAAGGAGTAAAATTGTAGTTACTTCAAGCTTTGCCATTAATTATATTTTTCTCATTACAAATCGGTGTGTAATTTGAATTGCAAACTCAACTATCCTGGCAGAATAGATCTGTTTACCATTCAAAGCAAAATGAAAATTATTTAAATTAGTTAATATAGAACTCATTTGAATGAATTGGATGTTTATTCATGAACTAGCTGAGGCAAGTGTGAAGCTGTCCTTATGGTCTGTAGCTTTGGCACTGATCAGCTCTAATGTCACGTCCTGGGACAGAGATTTCTTCTTTATTGCATATTAACTGTGGTGTAAGCAGTGGGTAACTACAGCCTGGTGTAGCTGAGTGTGAAATTTTCATCCTTCCTGACAAGGCCCTTCAGCACTTGTAGTTCATATGAGGAAGGGCAACCTGCTTCAGGGTTCACTGGCAGTGGCAGGGCTGTGGTGATGTGGGAGGCTTTGTTTCCTGCACTGTAAGGGTGGGATGTAAGGCAGATTTTCCATCAGTTACTTAAAATTTCCCCATTGTATCAGCCTGCATGGAAACACGGATAGCATTTATCCCCAAACGCTCTCTTCCTCCTCTTAGTGCACTTGTTTGTTGCCATCCTTCATCCCTTGGACTGAGCATCCTTCATCCCTTTTACCCACTGAGCATTAAAAATTTAAGCCTAACTAAACTTTGCTGACTAGTGAGAGGAAAAGAGGTGTCCTTTAGGCTGTTCATTTCCATGTGCTGTTTTCCTGTGTTGGTGACAGTTGAGTTCCTGGACACATCCACCATCGGGCGCAGGAGCGGCGTGGGGAACCTGACAAGTGTAGTAGCTAAATTATGCATTGTGAAAGAGCAGGGACATCCTGTGATTGACGCTCGGGGGTTTTTGTGCAGATTGCAGATTTCCAGCTGAGCTGACAGAGCCCAGGCTCTCCTGGCACTGTTGTAATGCATCCTGGAATGAGCTGAAGACACCGGATGACGGGATTGTTTTGTACACTTGGAACTGCAGCAGCGGCTCTGCTTTGATGCTATTCACAGATGGAAATTCAAACAGGGCATTTCTGTGTGCAGATCTGTGAGCTGGAGTGTGTGGAGATGGAAAGAAACATAGCAGGGAGAGAGCCAGGTCTATATTTTGGTTTTGTGGTGGGCTGGTGCGAATGGGGAAACCTCTGAACACTGGCTGTACCTGGGCTTGGTGACCAAGAAGATCAGTCCCACTGTGATTTTGTGTAGGAGAGCAGCTTTTACTTCCTTGTTGCCTCAGTGCAAGGAGGATTAAAGTTCAGAAGTCTGATCCTGTGTTGAAATAACCTTCTCTTTCATGGTGCTGAGCTTGATGAAGTTTAATCATCAAATCTACCATAAAGAAGGGTAGACTTAAAGCATTTTGCCTGCCCAGGCTTTCTGTGAAGGCAAACACCATCATTTGGTCAGTATTTGAGGCAGGTTTTCATCTGGCTGTCAGGTGAGATTAATTCCTATCCCAGATGTAGGGCAAAGGAGGGAAATTTCACTGTGATTCCAAGAGCTGGGTCAGATTCTGGGCAGGATATGGTTGAAAAGGGAGATAAAACTTGCGCCATGGCATATTGGGTTACCTTCAAATGACAACTTACTGCTTTTTTTGTTTGGTTGGTTTTATATACTATCATGTGAATCTATCACAGAGCAAAATCCTGCTCTTTGAGGTCAGCAGTGTAAAGAAGGGGAGAAATGAATCTGGTTGCCCTTGTTGAAATTTACAGCAGGATGATTCTGAAAGGCCAGAAAATGGTCTGCTGTGTTGCAGGTGTGGGTTTGATGTCACTCCAAGGCGCACAGAAGGCTTTTTTTGGGGTCACAGCTCAGGGTGGTGGTGATGTGGCCCATACCCTTGGCTTTCAGCATCATTATTGGATCTCCCTTGCTGAATGCAAAGCTTGTCCGTGGGTGCTCAAAAGGAGGACACAGAGATGCGAGATAATGTTTTTGACAGTGGATGAGGGTGTTCAGAGAT